GGTGGGAATTGAGAAGGCTCCATCCAATTTAAAAAGGGACTAGCCACAAAAGCAAGGAGAATTTAAGAGCTGGAAATTATTTCACAAAGTGCTATTTTGTTCCTCAGTTAGTCCCTTCCCTCTCATGTGATTATTTATTAAATCACCTCAGATATTTGCTGCTGTTTTTGTTGTCCCTAAACTGCTTAACATTTTGTTATCTCATAAATGATGGTCTCTGTAACCTCTCCCCATATATACCTTATCATTTTTCCTTTTAATCTGAAACAAAAATGTGCTCCTCAGGCACTCTGTTAATTAGAATGTCGTTGGTGAAGCTCACATGGTGGTATTATAATTACTTCTCTGTATTGTCTTAATTTTTGTTCCCATCTGAAACTGAAAATATCTGTTCAACCTCTTAATCTCAACAATTAGTTAAGTGGTATGCAGCTGGTTATCCGGGGGTGGGCTCAGATGTTTAATCACCTCTGCTCAGGTCTGAATGGGAATCTGCTCAAGAAGCAACACCTGTAATTAGTGTGTAGTTGCAAGAAAGTTCTTCTGGAACACTGGCTCTCAACCTGTGGTCACCAGACAAGCAGCAGTGTCTGGGAAACTGTTAGAAATGCAAATTCCCAGGGCCCCATCCTTGCCCTACTAAATCAGAAACTCTGGAAGGGGCCACCAATGTTTTAATAAGCCTTCTAGGTGCATGCTAAAGTTTGAGAACCACTGTCCTGGAGAAATATCTTCACAGGGTTAAGCAGCCAGACTCAGGGAGTTAGGAAAACAGACTTCAGAAAACACCAGGGGAGTTTAGAGGCTGAGAAGAGAGGGCAATTACTACCCTCTTGGAGATGATGCAGATTTCCAGAGGAACAAGTGTTGGAAAATGAAGTCTCTGCTCCTTGAAAGAAAACCTGGCTAGCTATTGCTTGCCCTATGCTTTGGAAAGACAAGTATCTTTTTTGTTTGTTTGTTTTTGTTTTTTGTTTTGTTTAGTTTTGGAGAGAGAGAGAGGAGAGGAGAGGAGAGGGGCAGAAGGGGGGAGGGAGAGAGAGAGAGAGAGAGAGAGAGAGAGAGAGAATTCCAAGGAGGCTGCATGTTTAGCACAGATCCAGATGTGGGGCTCGATTTCATGACTGTGAGATCATGAGCTGAGCTGAAACCAAGAGTCAGACACTTAACCAACTGAGCCACCGAGGCTCAGGAAACCTTGTCTTTGGAAAGACAAGTTCTTAAGTCAATTTTCAGGAAGGACTGTTGAATCTTCTGGCTCAAGGGTCTTCACTGGACATTTTAATGTTAAATAGATGAAGAAAGAGATCTATTTGCCACTTTGAGTGAGTCTCATTTTCCCCTACAGACATCTAAATAGTGAAGTTATGCTTATTTTATGGTCAAGAGGAAATAAGACCTCTATCCTACACTGAACATTTAAATAAAAAGAAGCAGCTCTTTATTGAGATTCTTTTGAAGGTCCAATCATAGAGTCCTGGTCAAAACACTAGCCTTGCCTAAAGTTTTAGTATCACCTTTGATCCATGGTCTGTGGGAGTCTAAAAATGAAGAGTCTGTCACCTTACCAACTACCTTGTGTCATCTAATTGATAAGTCATTAGTTAACCAGGAGCAATTTAGGGAAAGTCCATTTTCTACTACCATGACCAGAACCAGTATTCTTATTTCAGTTCTTAAAACTTCACTTAGTTTTTTCTATTGGCAACATATATCCACATAAAACCTATTCTGATGTGGGCATGCCTTGTCAGAATGGCAATCCAAATTTAAGTGTGTAATTCAGAGTTTCTTTTGTGTTAAAAAAAAAAAGTGATTTCTTTTCTAGCTCTTGAAACTTCTCTGTATTCAGACAAGCAACTCTCTTATTTTACACAAGAAGGAAGAAGAGTTTGCGTTTCATTTTCTACCCTACAATGAGCATTAATCATTTAGATAAAAATCTCTTTGGGAGGGAAATAAATCCTGGTTGATATGGCCAACCCTTTTATTATTGAATTATGTATTTTCTTTTTATAAGATCAATGAACTTCTCCATGGGTTGTTTCCATTTGGGGAATGAAATGATGGGGCTTTAGAATCTCCACTCTGTGGTCTCTGATTGTGTGAGTTTGTGGACTGCAGGCACTCGGAGGATTTAACTCAGAGGGGATCCCGATAAATAGTTCTACTGCCACTTGAGAAAACTAGGCAGGACATTTCTCCTTGGGTTCTCATGCAAACAGGAAAGAACTAAAAGTGATAGAAAACAGACTTTCTGATCGCTCTGGTCCTATAGGGGTCCCAGAGGCTGGCCCTCTTTTATCCCAGACTTTTCTGCTTCTCTTTCATCTTAGCAGAATATGTTCATATCATTGGTGAGTTCCAGCCAGAGAAAAAGCCACATAATTTACAACAACATAATTTACTCCTTTTTAAATTGCAGCTCAAAGTCTAGGACTCATGGAACAGTATGAAGCAATGATTAAATCAGTTCTGAATGTTTGAAAGAAGTATGAAAGAAAAGGTTTAATATGGTTTCAACATTGTTCTCTGTAAATCAAGGATTCTGTTGAGGTATATTTTTCAACACTGTGTCCTTTAGCATTAAGCCCTCTCATTGTTGCCTTTGGGTATGGGCAATATAAGAGGGGACAACAGAAATGGCAAGGAAGGAAAGGATCAATGGAAAGAAGTCTGATTACTTAAACTTCTGCTTCTATTTATACTGAGCCAAAATATCTTCAGTGGGATTGACTAACATCTTTCCCCCCCACTATTCCATTTTCTTCCACAGTCTAGCAAATGTTTTCTCTATTAGCTACATTTTAAGATTACTACCAAATTAACCACAAAGGCCATGGCATTAATAGGAGCTAGAAAATTCACTGGACCCCCAACTAAGCCACCAATAACTATTGTGTGGACAATAGTAGGGTTATTATTTGGCCTTGATGAAGTGATAGTGGGTTTTCCATAATAGATTTGGGAACAAAGACTTTCTCTCTGTCCCTTTGACTATGACTCTTAATCTTGATGAATATAAATTTAAGTCCACAGCTAAGTCACTACTGGTATCAGTAAAAACATAAGTGTAGAATTTACTAATGAAGCTTCCCATCCTCATTCTCTTGCTCACTCTCTTACACACACACACACACACACACACACACACACACACCCCATTCATTCTTCAGTAGCACATCATACCAGTGGCTTATGTAGCACAGAGATGCACCGTCTCTTCGTCCCTTGGAATCTACAGTGGATTTCTGGTCAACCTAGTTCATGTACTTCTTTTCACTGCAACTAGAGTAGCTAAGAACTCTGACATGTTTGAACCTTATGGGTCTTGTTTTTGAAATGAAACAAAACACCATCATGGCTTGGGAATTGCAGAAATGTCACTTACTAACTCTAGGCCTGGATTTTCCTTTTTTCTTTAAATTAATACCTGTGTAATGGAGGAGACAAAGAGCAATGGTTTAGCTTTTTGTGCTTCTGCCTCCTTTCAGCATTGGACTCACTAAATTCCATGCTGTCTTCCCTCTCACGTACCCACCTTAGTGAAAACCTGGGAGTGGTCATTTCCTTTATAAAAGAAATGTTTTCCAGTGTTTGCTTTTTGTACAGTCTGCATAGTTGGTAAATGCAAATGTAGATAACCCTTAATGCTTGTCTGAAGGTTTTTCCACCTATTTGTGATTTGGGCGATGACCAAGGGCATGTTTGACTTGTAATAGAGATGAAGAATGGATAAATCCAGTGCATGTAATATGATTGGGGAGTCCCCTAGACTGACCCACTGTGCATTCCTGTAATGCCTGTTGAACAACCAAGCATTGTCCTTGCAGAAGTACAACTATACTAACTGGTATTGCATACAGTGATTTCCAAAGTGGTGGTACTAGGAAATCCTCCATCCTGCACTTCTCAAGGGGGCCCTCTCCTGGCCTGGAAGTCCACATTTCTTCCCATCCAGAGAGATTATTTTGCTTCTCCCCATCCTTCCTTCCCTTTCCTCCCCTCACTTTCTTTATGTTCCTGGTCTGAGTGTTACCATTTGCTTACTGATAACAGTATACTATGAATTTTCATTCACACCTTTGAGATTCTTATGAGGCTTTCCTGCTTCCCACCCAGCCCCAAACTTGGGACTTTTCACACACTGATCCTCTGATCAGTTTGATGCGGGAAAGCACACGGAAGCCATGTACCAGTTTGTATAGTAGTACCCTTTTAAACTGTCTACTCTTGAACAAAGTAGAGTATGCTGGGGATTCGCATTGGCTGCTTGACACACACAAAGCCAATTAATTTGCATGCCAAAAAAACAATTAACCCTTAGAGTACTGCTTCAACATTTTGGTTTAAGGGTCTTGAACTTTACCAGTTGGGCAATGCTTCTTTATCCAGATCCAAGTGCTGCACATAAAGTCCATACTTAGTCTAGCCAGAACATCAACCAGGATCCTCTCCTACACAGATTTCTTGAGATGCTCCTGGGCCGTTTATTATTAATCAACTGATGGCATTAAAGAGGTCTAAAACATAGCCACCGTGTTTCACTGAAAATGGGCTCGACTTCCATTGTGCTTGAGGGTGTGAGGGACTATTTTTAGCTTTGGTATGTGTCCTCTAAAAGAAAGAAGTCAGTTCTTTAAGGGTTAATATGAAATTAAGGAATTTGATGGCCTCTCTTGCTTGTCCTTCCTCCAAGGTGTCTGCATGATCCTTTTTAGATCCTTAGCTCAACTGTTGAATGATGATAAAACATAATGTGTATATCTATCTATGTATATAAATAATTACAAAAGCAAAAGAAGAAAAGACTGAATGGTTGTATGGAAAGACCCCTTGGCAACGCTTGCTTGATTATCACAGAGGGTAGAAAGACCAAATGTTTTAGTTAACGAATATTCATTTTGTCCTCTACCCCGAGCACTACTCCTACACGTATTGTGGAAGGCTTGATGATGCTTTTCATTTACGTCTTGCTTTTTCTTCTTCCTGTCTAATAGCCCAATAGAATCCTGCCAGAATTTCTACAAAGATTTCACATTACAGATCGACATGGCTTTCAACGTGTTCTTCCTCCTCTACTTTGGCTTGAGGGTAAGTCTGATAAGCACTACCCCGTATCACAATGGGGCATCTGGTACCCAGGGACCATCCTTCACCAGCATCTGCTCTTGCGGAGATGAAGCCATTGTTTCCAGGAGAGGCAACAGACTTGTGTTGTGATTTTCAGTCTCTGAGAGAGCCCTTTCCTTAACTCAGCATTTTCTGAAGTGCACATTAAAATCTTGTTCCAAGGAGGAGAACCAGGGGTTGACATAACTATTATGTCTTTACTGGCCAACTGTTTCTCATCTCTCTAAATATGAATGTGTTGTTGCCTTAAATAGGACCAAAAAAAAAAAAAAACCCTTCTCTTAAAATTATGTTTATCAGGACTCACTTAGCTGATTCCTAAAAGAACATTTGTGAGGACTGAATCAAGGGGGTAGATTGACAGACTTTGGGACTTGGGAGATTTACGAGGATGGAATGTATAGAGCGTGTATTACAGAGATCGTGTGTGCATGTGTGTGCACACGTGCATGTGTGAGTGGATACATACGTATATGGCTTATTTACAGTTATATTTTCTTTGGAGTCTAATGAAGATGAGGCCACTCAAACTTTCTGATGACACTATGGAAAACCACAGGAAAATAGATTGACTGATATTTCTCCAAGGTTAACATACTCTATAGTCACTCTCCAGAAAAGACTGTATATCCAATTTCTTTGACAGAAATAGCCTGTGATTGGTATAGATATGAGAAGGACCTAACATCTCCCTCCAGCCCCCCACGAAAAACCAAAACATAGCCTTTGGCAAAAAAGCATGGTTAGAATGCTAGCATCGCGCTTCTCATTTTTTGGTCTCCTTTTCTCTTTCCCCAGTTTATTGCAGCCAACGATAAGCTGTGGTTCTGGCTGGAAGTGAACTCTGTGGTAGATTTCTTCACGGTCCCTCCGGTGTTTGTGTCTGTGTACTTAAACAGAAGTTGGCTCGGTAAGTCAGCCTCTCTTCCTTTCTTCTTACTGGCCCCTGAGCTGTGGTGGCTGAGAGGCCTGGGCTGTCCCCACGGAAAGAACATTTTGTGTGAATGTGCACAACTCTTGGCATTTGGGGAGTTAGTGAGGACAGTTCCCTTTGGAGCACTGGCCCCGGAGGATTTGCACAGTGAGTGCTTCAGGTAAGGCAGTTTTATCATTGTTGAAGCCTACTAGTCACACTGGCACAGCCAGGACCTCATGCTTCTGTCATTTTCATTCAACCTGCAGTTCGAATTGGACAAAGAAGCCCATAGGGACAAGGCCAAGTTGCCAAGTGTCTGATTCAGGTGACCCAGAAGGCCTGCCTGCCAAAGTTAGCTTCTGTCCACTTCTCAGTTTTAGGAGGAGTGGCTCCTGCCTGGTATATCTATGGCTAAGAGTTCCTCTGTGGGCAGGGCACAGTAAGGCATCTCCTTGAAGGAGATGGAACTCCCCTCCTGTGTTAAAGGAGGGGCTTTTGCTGGTGCTGTGTTCACGTCTCACTTCCTGTATCTGCTCAATATGTCACTTGCTGTCTGTCCCTGGCAGGTGACTTCCTTCATTAAGACCAGGACAGTTTGGCAGGAGAAGTAATTAGCTCAGAGGATGGTCATGGCAGCCAGAGGCATAGAGAGAGCATTGAGCTTCTCTTTGTTGCACTGAATAATTCTTCCAGAATGTTCCTGCTGCCGTAGGTCAACTGGGGGGAAAGAAGGCTGAAACAAGATTCAGAGGACAATTTGTGGGTTCCTTCCATCTGTATTTTTAGAAAGTTTTGGTCTTACCTCAATTTTTTTCAAAGTAATCTGAATAAAACCTTGGATTGCAAGTAACCTGTTCTGCGGGTATTCTGCAAGACAAGCAAACATTTCTAAGAAATTTTAACTTGATAAACCAGCGATGTCTTGCAATATGAGTCGTATGTGAGGCCGAATGTCACATGGTCACAATTGAGCCAATGGTTCTTGAAATTCACTTTGATATACAAATGCTTTGAATTACACGTGTGTTTCTGGAACGAATTATGCTCACAAACCAAGGTTTTACTATATATTATTGTCTTCAGTATAAACATTTAAAGATGTATAAAGGAAATATCAATCATGTCTTCCTCATTCTCACTGTCTTGTCTCTGGGATGCTCAGTATTCATTGACTTCCATATCTTTCCTTCATGCCCCATTGCCACAAACATGGATGAGTACATATATGTGTTGTAGAAGTGGTGGTCTTTGTACAAATATGTGTGTCCATGACATCACACTGCAGTTTGGTTCTCTCACTAACTAATAAATGATGGACATCCCTTCAGCTCTGTAATAATTCATTTTATTAGAGTTACACAAAATTCTACAAATCGCACTGCAGTTCACTTGGACACAACCTTAATGATGGACCACCCGATTGTTTTCTTTTTGCACTGTTAACAATGGTTTAATAAACACCCTCATCCACACACCAGTGCGATTCTATTTCCCTAGATGGTATCAGATTCCTGGAGGAGTAATTGCTGAATCAAAGAATGCGTATATTTTGGTTTGTACAGAAATTGATGGTTCACTTTTCAAAAATGTTGTGTCAAGATATGCTTCCACTAGCAATATGTTTTTGATGTCCTGGCAAGCATTGTGAATTTATTACATGGCTCGTATCAAGTATTAAAAAAAGAAGGACCCCTTATATAAGATGTTTGCAGTAATCACACACACACATATCTGTGTGTGTCTATATCCCATAAGGATTCTATTTTGTACTGGTTTGCACATTAGAGTTGTATTCATTCACTCCATGGAAAAGTTGTCATCCTTGATTCAAGACCTGCTTGCTTAGATTGGGTTTTCCAGCCAGCGTGATGAAACTGTCAGAGTCACTCACAAATCTGAGAAGTGACCTAATGTGCTCTGGTACTGAGGGTCCTGGCTACCTCAGCTTGACTGTTAACTGGCTTTGTGACCTGGGGAGTTCGCTTTTGTTTTCACTCAGCCTGTTGTTTTCCATCTGTAAATAAAGGCCAGGTTAGATGATTTCTCAGGTACTTCCAGCTCAGAATATCTCTAGGATTCTTGCATTGTTCATGGGAAATTTGGGATCTAGGTTGTTGGGAAGGACTGGAAAGTTGGTGAAATCAACTATCAACATTCCTGAGTCAAAAGTGCATATGGATTGCTAACCATGACTCATCTTACACTATCCTGTCGCAAAGAGTTTACACACATGCACGCACACACAAGCAGGCACGTATGCACACACATGCACCCATGAGTGCGCACAGACCCTACAAAGCTCCAGACAGACAGACAGACAGACAGGGAAAGAAGGAAGGGGAAGAGGGAAGAAGAGAGGAAGGGAGAGGGAAGGAGGGAGTGTGGGAGGGAGGAGGGAAAGGTTTCTGCCCTCTCCTCCTGCCTGTGTTCTTACTACTCTCTACACTGGAACAACCACTTTGCTTTTCTGGACCCTCAGTTTTCCCTTCTGAGAAGTGGGAGATTCGGACTTAAATTACCATCTAGTCCTCACACTTCATGAATCGGAATTTTATGTCAAGGTCCATTCTCTCTTGGTCCCTTGTGGTCCTAGGTGACAGTCCTTCCTGACTGGTGGAGACACCCTCCTCTGCAGGGAGCAGATCTTGCCTCAGGGTAAGGGTGTGGAGCCGGGTCTCTTTGTGAGGCTAAAAGCATCTCGGTGTCAGGAGAACTTGGATGTTTTAAAAATTCATGCCTTTTTGGGAATGATTTAATCCTGATTCTTGGCGTGGTGTTCTCGTCTAGTGAAAATCCACCAGAGTGAACAGGAAAAGGGGACGAAAAAGAAAAAGGAAGAGAACTGATATATACTTTTGCATCCATTGTGGTTGCTCTTCAAAAAAAGGGGAAAAAAAACCCTCTAAAATGTGCTTCAATGTGTTCATTAATTGACAGTATTTATCAAGCACCTACTATGTGCCAAGCACTTTTCTAGATTATTAGGAAACAACAGTGAATAAAATTGAATTATACCCCCTGATGTTGCAGGGAGGGAAGAAGAAGAAAAAAAATGAGCCTAATAAATAGGCAAATTATATAGTGTGTTAAGAAGCATACGTATGTTGAACCTGAAAACAGACCAACCAACTTTTGGGCCATGAATTCATAATAAAAATACCAACAACAAATAACCTTTCCCCTCTTGTAGAAGAAGGCATCTTTTAATGAAATGCTTGTGGTTCTCAGCCCCTTGGGTGAGCTCCACAACTGGTCGGCCTGTAACGGAAGAGAATTCAGTAGAATAATATTTCAAGGAGGTTCCCGTGTCTGATTTAATACATGGGTTATTACATCGTGAAACAATTTTTGTGCCGATGAGCTGCCAGAGATAAAGTGAACATTCCCATGAGGTATGGCTTATAAAGTAGAAGGAATAATCCCATTAAATGGGGGACATTTCAGGAAGTGCTGCCCTCCTCCTGGAGAATGAAAAGGGGCTGCTTTACTGGCTGAGGTTTGGCCTAAGCTGAGGAAACGTGCACACGCTTTTCTGTTTCTCCTGTACACACCTGCTGAGCTGTATGACACAGGGGGCTGTGCTCGAGCTGGAATCATGTGACTACAAAACCGAACAAGGGCTATGACCCCCACCCTTACTTTTCCCAGAGTATAACGCACACCATGTTTGATTTCTTATCATAATATATGGTAGCATATTATATAGTATTGTATTCATTTGTTTTATTGTATGTATTATCTTAGTGCATTTGATGGTATTTTGATAATAACAGCTAATTCCATTCTACTATGTGCTGGGAACTCTGATAAGCCCCTTACATATATGAACTCACTTAATTCTCAGAAAAATCCTATGACCTGGGAATTACTTCCTCCATTTTGCAGATAAACAGATTCAGAGATGTTGGGCCTTATCCCAGGTCGCATAGCCTTGGAATGGATGGAAGGGGTGATTTGCCCCAGATTTGGTCTGGTTTCATGTCTGTGTTCATGCTGTTCTTCTGCCTCTGTCCTTACCCTTGCAAGATTGGGGGTTTTGAGGACGGTTGGGGTGACTGAGCTGGTTTGGCTAATTTCTGTTGGCATGTCTCCATCTCTCCTTGCTCAGAGAGCTTCACCTCAGGCAGGCAGGGGGGAGAAGAGATTTAAGAACACACTCATGACTTCTCTTCCACTTCCCACTCCTCCTTGCCCACCTCCAGTTTCTAGAGTGGCCACTAGGTCCCAAGGAACAGATAGAGCTTGTGTGGTGTCTCCTGAGTCCCAAGGTACCTTAGCACCTTGGGCGTCAGATCTGCTCCACCTGAGAGAGACAGAGAGGGAGAGACTTGAGGCTTCCACACACGCTATGTATAGAGCAGAGTGGGTCAGAGCCCAGCTCTGGGCTACCCCCTCAATTCACATCTTGGCCTGGCCAGTGGGTTGCTTTGAGCAAGGTTGTTTCACCTGTCTTCAACCCAGTTTTCCACCTGTCCAATGAATGGGGATGATCACAGTGCTCACCCTATAGGGTTGCCCAAGGCATTTCACGAGACAGTGTAAGTAAAATACCACGTACCTGAGATGGGCTTCATGATTATCCTAAGCTTCGCTTTCTAACCTACCTATCATATTTTAAAGCACCAAGGAAGAAAACAAACCAGAATGGAACCAAAAATAAGGCAGCGGGATGTGAGGACATCCACGTTGGCAGGCGGCAAGTCTCTGCTTATTTTAATTCCTGTTCCCACACACCGGCTTATTCATTTTTGTTTCTCTCACCAAATCCTTATCCTACCTCACTAAAATAAATGTACCTTGAAATGAAAGATGTATTTTATTTTGAGACTAGAATAACATGCAGGGCAAAACTCTTCTGTCTCATTTTAGGGGGAACTCTATCCCCAAGGTAGGTCAACAGACTGTGCCTCCTTTGTGTATTTATTTATGTGGTTTCGTTGAGGGTCATTTTGTGCAGTTCAAAGGAGAGAGTAGAGAAAAAATAATGATGCACT